TTTTTTTAAGTCTGTCACAACCTCTCCACTTAATTTTAAAGATATTTCCGCATTATTAGTAAGTCCATAATTACATAATTATAAATATAAATGCATGATTTCCAGAAATAACCATGTTTGAATTAAATTTTGACGTATTTTTCTCAAATTACCGTTGACATCTACAATTGTTAGTCTGTCAAAATCGAATCGCCCTTTAACATTCTAACTCACGCATACACACATTTAAACAGAAATGATTCAAAAGCAGAGTTTTATAATCGAGTCAATAAATTGTGTTCTTCTAATCCTGGATGGTAATTTCGTAAACGAGTTTTGAGGAAGCATTTAAAGAGGAATTTTGTTGGAATAGGATATCTAGAGTAAGCAAATATTGAGAGTTGAGCAAAACAGTGTTTTGGATGCCTTCAATGAAGATGGCAGAGGGGGTGAGGGGAGAGAGATGGCAACCCCCAGGCAACTCCTGTATTGTATTGTATTGATCAGCGCCGTTTCTATGGAAACGCCTCGATGTCTTCGTCCAAGCCATTTGGGAGGGTTGCAAGGTGGAAGAAACTGAAATGACCCAGCAGTGAAGGATCCCTTCCAAATGATATTCCAGATGGGAAAAAAAAAGAAATCACATTGTTTGTGAAAATGTGGACGCATTTGCGTCCACCATACTAAAATCACAATTCAATCAGCGTCCGTTTTTGTTCTTTTTCCCGCCAGTGCGAATTTTTTAAACTAAATTAACTTCACTTTAATTTATATTTTGTTTAGTTCATGAAGTTTTTACGATTCCAAGTTCGGCAATAAGTCATTCTCTTTAATGTAATAACTAAAGCAATTCACCTTAATTAACCAAACGTAAAAGACTACGTAACATTCCAAATTCGGAAATTCTTCAATTATTTTGACTTTCCGAATTTTTACTACTTACGATAATTTTAAGCAGAATTAATTTCAATTTTAGTTGTTTTTCGTTTCTCATTAATTCTTTATATTTTCAAGTTCCGCAATAAGTCACTTTTTTTATCCGCAACAACTATAAAAATGTATCGTAATTAACAAAAGGTTAATGAATGCGCAATATTCCACACAAGAAAAAATACAATTTCACGAATTTTGTATCAATTTTTTTAACTCCCCGAATTTTTTTTAAATAAAAGTAAATTCCTTTTTATTTATTCTCGTTCATTCTTTTTGTTTCCAAGTTCTGCATTCTCTCATTCGTTATAACTATAACAATTCACCGTAATTAGCATTAACAAAACTTTAAAGATTGCGTAACCAAAGAAAACAAATAAAACTTGATGATTTTTTGAAGAAAAAAAAATTCTTTTTCTTTCAACGAATTTAATTGTGATTTTTTTAAAACAAAATTAACTGTATTTTTAGTCATTATTCAACAATTTTTCATATTTTTAAGTTCCTCAGTAGGTTATTCCCTCTCCCGTAATAATTATAAGAATTCGCCGTTATTGACTAAAGGTTACGCAATGAAACGCGGAAAAAAATAAATAAAATTTAACGATTTTAATATATATATTAAATTAATTACCAAAGTATATATGCATAAATGTTTAAAACATTAAAACCGAATGCTTTTACTTTCCTTACCCTTAAAAAGCAAATTTTTTAAAAACACAATTTCTTCAAAATATAAATTTTTGAAAAAGGTAAAAGATTTCTTAATAATTTTCCAGGGGGATATTTTTAACTACAGTTTTAGCTAAAAAAAAA